TCTCTCTCGATTCTCTCTCTCGATTTTCTCTCTCTCTCTCGATTCTCTCTCTCTCTCTCTCTCTCTCTCTATTCTCTCTCTCTCTCTCTCTCGATTCTCTCTCTCTCTCTCGATTCTCTCTCTCTCTCTCTCTCGATTCTCTCTCTCTCTCTCGATTCTCTCTCCTCCCCCCTCCATCCTATCCTTCCTCATTCCTCCTCTCTGTCCTTCTCTCTCACTGCCTCTGTCTCTGTCTGTCTGTCTATTTGTCTGTTTCGTCCATTGCACACACACCAAAAAAAACAACAATAGGTGATTACAATAATCATAATCAACACATCAAACAGGAGGTGATCTAAACTGTGTCGACGACTGCGTAAAAATACCCACATAATTTGGTTGTTAAAAAAATTAAAATAAATAACAGACCAGTACTCACAAAGCGACCAGTTCAGCGTACTGTTCAGGGCTGTACTTCATATCTAGCTCCACGATAACACTGTCTTTGTGGTCGGTGCCCAAGAACTCGATGGCCCGCTCTGAGGAAGGAAGAGAACTGAAACTGTCAAATCGCTACCCTAGGATTACATTACAAAGTTCTCTCTGCTCAGTACCTAGTATTGAGAAATTCGACGCCAAAAGTTTTTGAGTTCCACAACACGATAAGCTTTTTTCGAATGCAATTCTTTACATATCTTGATAACAACTTTGAATGATCTTACGGTTTTGATAAAGCAGATAGATTAATTGGTTTCTAACCTCATGGTCGTAGCTGAAAACGACCAAAAATATCAGATAGAACTTTGTAATTCTGAGGAAGTGAAATGAAGCGGAAAAGAGTGAAAAAGTCGGTGTCATCTTGTATGCGTCAAATGAGGTCAAATGCTTTATTTGTCGGAAAGTATTCTATTCACAACAGTAATTTCTAGAGGCAGATCTCAGGCTTATGGGACACAGCTGGCTGGGGGTGGAGGAGATAGCCCAGAGCAGAGACTGGTGGAGAGCTCTTCTAGGTGGCCAATACCAGCATGAAAGAGTCGAATGATGATGATGATGATGATGATGATGATGATGATGATGATGATGATGATGATGATGATGATGATGATGATGATGATATTTTTTTGTTTCCTTAAAAGGCTCTTTTTCGGTTCCATTGTCTTTATACTTAGAGGCACCTCCACTCGTCCAAATAACTCCATTCGAATTGCCATTGTTCCTGGACATTCAAACATATGTTTGCCATTCTCTTTTTCATGGCTGCAGCTTCGGTAACGTGTTTTGAGCCCTTCATTCACAAAGTTATTAAGCATTTCAATGACGCCTTTGAAAGTGTTTAAATAAACCTGCCCAACAGTACCTATTTAACTTAGCCACAATGTGCACACATTCACCAAACAGGAGTAAATTCATTCTTTGTTCGTTTCTAAGGCCCACATGTACGTAGAAACCAAGACCAGTACTTTTAAGCACAAGGGAGCAATCCCGAAAAATGCTGTTTTGAGAAAATGTAGGGTAAAGTTTCCCCCCACCTTTTTCAGTTTTTTTTTAAAAGACAGGGGAGTTTTCTCTATAACAAAACAAATATACACACCAATAAAACCAAACTTCTCCTATAGGTAGGGCAATGCCCACTTTTGGTGTATGTCAAGATTTCTGGAAATCCCCGAAATCTGGGTTAGCCCGCTTGCCCAACCAATTATTCGAGGGAGTCTGTGGTGCTGTCACACGCACAAGACGTGAGTTCGATTTCCGAGAGGGGGGGATTCTTGTCCAGTATCTCCGTCTGTCTGCTGAGCATGGGACGTTGTAGCCCCTTCAGCCTGAGTTGGCCTTGACAGACAGTGTTGAGGTAGGCTTCGACACTGCCTGTCACATACATGGCCTACGTTGTGTCGATGGAGCCGTAAAACTTTTACAATTACAATGTTTAAAAGCAATTGTTCCAACCCAAAGGATGGATCCGCTTTTGATCAGAAAGCATAGCTGGCTGCCACGATCCAGAGCCTTTTGCCAGTCAGAGAGTGGCTGGTCATTAAGGTATTAAGAGGACTTCATAAAAGTAATTAATTATGCCCTTGCCGTTTTTGGCAGCTCCTTCAATCATTTTGTCAAGAGACATCTCTGTGCTCGTCGATACCAACAGAAGCAAAACACTCTGAGGATATGAAAATTCAAAGAAAAGTTGTTAAAATTGATGAAAAAAGTGATACGCCAGAACAAAACCTTCAGTTTTATCTCATAAAGGCACAGCACGATTTCCAAACTCGGGTAACAGAAAGAGCACGAGTTTTTTGTTCACAGTACAGCCAAACCCCGTTATACCGCCCACCCCGGGACGAACGTGAAGATGCCGGTATAGCAGGGTTGGTGGTAAAATGGGTTGTTTGTGAAATTTTAACTGTTCATTTCTACAGATTTACAACAGACATATTGTCTTGGTTAAAAATGCAGTATCTTTGTTCTGGATTATATTGCAAAAGAGGATTTGACGTAAAGCAAATTCCGAGGTCTGGAAAATGATACATGCTTGGTATATTACTTAATCGCTGGCACAATCTTCAGAAAACTTCCTCCTCCTCCTCCTCCTCCTCCTCCTCCTCCTCCTCGTCCTCCTCCTCC